TCTGCACTTAAACACAATCGGCGCTGACATAATTTCCATCTGCCAGCTGCAAAAGGCCACTTTACTGGGATCTGCACGCATTATTCACCGATACATCACACAGTCCTAGACACTTGGGAAGTGTCCGACGTGTGATCCAATACAACAGCCAGCAGAGTGATCTTGTCTGCTGTGGACTCATCTTGTTACTATTAGTGTGTTTTATTTATTTATTTATTTATTTATTTATTTATTTATAGGCCGCCCTCTAGGACTCAGGGCGGCTTCCTGATAAATAAGGCGATATGGTTCAATATCCAATGTGGGTGCTTCGTTCTCTGTCCTTTTGTTGTCACCACGCAGTTCGCGCCATTGAAACGCGGTCTGGCGGCATTGTCTGTGCGCCCTGAAGCCACCTTTCGCCCCATGAATCTCAGAGGGTTTTTCAAAGGCAAGGATACCGAGAAGTGGTTTTGCCAGTGGCTTCCTGTGATTTAGATAGCCGACCGTAGGTGATCTATTCATTGGCGGTCTCCCATCCAATCACAAACCGGAGCTCTCCCTGCTTAGCTTCCGAGATGAGACCTTTCCCTTGCGCTCTTGACCTTGGATGTCCTTAATTCGGGGCAAAGGGGATCCGAAGGGAAGGGAGGCACTGCAGCTATTTGTGCCTCGTCTGCTTACAGACCACCCTGCTCGCTGTCCAACTAATGTTAGTTTTCCCTACTGTTAGGCGGGATCTCTTTTCCTGCAGTTTGAATACATTGCGCCTTTGTGTCCTGGGGACCTCATCACACTAGTGAATGAATCCACATTACATTCGGTTTCTGCCTCCTGCAGAATTATGGGGTTTGTAGTTTAGGGAGGAGCCTTTAACAGCCTCACTAGACTACAAATCACAGAATTGTGCAGGAAGCAGAAACCGGATCTAAAGTGGATTCATTCTCTAGAGTGATGAAGTAGCCAGTCTCCAGGGCAGCAGAAAGCGAGCTTGGCTTCTCCTCAATGTGGCTTCCCTTCAAATATTTACAGAGGGCTCCCATGTCCCCTTCCCTCAGCCTTCTCTTGCCCAAGCCAAAGAGCCCCGTCTCCCTCAGCCGCTCCTCATTGGGCTTGGCTTCCAAACCTTGGCTCATTTTACTCCCTTTCTCTGGACACCTTCCAACTTGTGGTTTGACAAATTGCGCTCTCTCAGCCTCCGAGGAAGGCAAGGGCAAACCTCCTCTGAATAAAGACTGTCGGGAAAATCCCTGGGCTGGGTTCGCCTCAAATCCAAATTGATGTGAAGACACAGGGAAAAGATCCAGTCGAGGCTTCCTCGGGAGGGAATCCCATTCATCTCAATTCGGCCGACTTCCAGCTCAAGCACCTTCAGACCCTTCAACATCTGAGGATGCCTGCCACAGATGTGGGCGAAACGTCTGGAGAGAATGCTTCTGGAACATGGACAGGCAGCCCGGAAAACTCACAGCAACCCAGTCTTCCTCCTTCTATTCTATAGCATCAAGCATTCTCTAGCATCAAGCCATAGCAGGGTTTGTGTGTGTGTGTGTCAGGAGCAACTTGAGAAACTGCAAGTCGCTTCTGGTGTGAGAGAATTAGCCGTCTGCAAGGACGTTGCCCAGGGGATGCCCGGATATTTTGATTTTCTGGCTTATTTGTTTATTTAGGACTATTTATATGCAGCGGTTCTTACCCCGAAGGGGACTCGGAGCGGCTTCCAAGATACATATACATACAATATACTATATTATTAGCATAGTTCAATATCAGTATTAAATATGACTATATTGTATTATATCATTATATTGTAAAATTATTAATAATATTACATGTAACATAAACATATAATTACAATATCATATTATTAGTATTATATTGCATTACATTATAATATTATAAATATTATATGTATATACAATATATTATATTATATTATATTGTATTACATTACATTACATTACATTACATTACATTATATTATTGACATAGCACAGGAGACAGGGTGGAACTGTCTTCTGCCCCCCACCCTCTTCACTCTGGCCCAAACCGGCAGATGTTTTGATGTGTTACCATCCTTGTTGGAGGCTTCTCTCATGTTCCTGCATGGGGAGCGGGAGCTGACAGAGGGAGCTCACCCACGCTTTCTCTGGATTCGAACCTCCGACGTGTCGGCCTTCAGTCCTGCCGGCACAAGAGTTTAAACCCATTGCACCACCAAAGGCTCCTTGACCATAGCAGTGAAAGTGGCAAATACTATAGATCAGTATCCTCCAGGTGTTTTGGCTTTAGCTCCCAGATATCCCAGCTGTTCGGAATTGTGGGAGCTAAAGTCCAAAACGTCTGGAGGAGCAGAGTTGGAGAAACACAAATCTACACTGAGCGTATCATGCAGTTCGTCCGAACTTTGCAGCCAGCGGAGCCACTCACCAGGTAAAGCACTTTCAGACCCCTCATCCTCTGAGGATGCATGCCACAGATGTGGGCGAAACGTCAGGAGAGAATGCTTCTGGAACATGACAATACAGCCCGGAAAACTCACAGTAACCTAGTGATTCCAGCCATGAAAGCCGTGGACAACACACCTCCCCAAGGCTCAAAGGAGAAAGAAGGGCGGAGGTAGCGCCTCCAGCTCGGCGCCGCCTAAATCTATCTGCAAAGATGCACCTCCGCACCTTGGTTCGTGGAAACGGAAGGCAATTAAACAGAGAGACACTTGAAAGAGCCTAAGGCTAGATCTACACTGACCTACGCTGTAGTTTCAGAATGAAGCTGAATTGCGGTGAACTGGATTATTAAATGGCGGCAGAGCCCATAGAATCCAATACAGACAATCTGCATTATATGGCACTCTAGATCCAACCTAGATGGTTCTCGTCTTGAATGTAAATCGTTTCAAACCAACCAAAAAAGCGAATCCGGGTGCTCAGCCTGAAATCGAGAAGGACTGCTGGCTTGCTTGGCTCCAAGTGCGCGCGCATCCATTGCAGGGCTTGAACAGGGCTGTTGTGGTGCGCCTTCAGGTCATCCTCCACCTATGGCCACCCTATTTATTGGTTTATCCTATTTATACCCCGCCTTTCTCTACCCCGAAGGGGACTCAAGGCGGCTTACATATAGGCAATGGATTGTCGAAGGCTTTCATGGCCGGAATCACTGGGTTGTTGTAGGTTTTTCGGGCTATATGGCCATGTTCTGGAAGCATTCTCTCCCGTTTTGCCTGCAATCCCAGTTACATATAGGCAATGATTCCATGCCATTTAAACACCCCTGTCATTGGGATTTCCTGGCAAAATTTGTTCACGAGAGGTTTGCTTTTGGCTGGATCTACACTGTCAAATAATGCACTTTAACCCAGCAAAGTCCCATATAATGTTGTTCAAGGCCATCCAAACTGTGGTCATTTGGCAGTGTAGATCCAGCCGCTCTTTCTCTGAGGCTGAGAGAGCGCGATTTGCTTAAGGTTGGGTTTCCATGGTCGTTCAATCGCTCAGACTACTACGCTGCCCCAAGAAAAACAACCACAACCTCTAGAAGAACAACCACAAGCCTGGATCAAATCATGTCAACAAATATCAATTTTTTTAAAAAAAAATCCACATTGCATTATGAAACGAAGTGTACGCCTGATATTTAAATGGGAATAAGACCCTCCAGGGGTTTTGGACTTCAACTCCCACCGTTCCTAACAGCCTCAGCCCCCTTCCTTTTCCCCCTCAGCCACTTAAGCGGAGCTCCCGTGACGCAGTGAGTTAAACCCTTGTGCTGGCAGGACTGCTGACCGACCGGTCAGCGGTTGGAATGCAGGGAGAGCGGGTTGAAGTCCCTCTGTCAGCTCCAGCTCCCCATAGGGGACGTGAGAGAAGCCTCTCACAAGGATGGTAAAACATCAAAATCACCTGGGCGACCCCTGGGCAACGTCCTTGCAGATGGCCAATTCTCTCACACCAGAAGCGACTTGCAGTTTCTCAAGTCTCTCCTGACACCGAAAAAAAACCCTTCACGTCGGCTTCAGGCTTGGATCAAAACCGACTCCTGTAAATCCGAGAAGCCATTCCCACACTCCTATTTCCCGCCTTTGACAAGCGGCCGAGACCAACCTCCTGGACTCCCACAGGCGAGTTTTTCGGGTTTGTGGCAGTTTTCATCCCCCTCAATTGAAGAAGGGAGGCTGCCGGGGAGGGGGTCCAAGGTGGAAGTTCTCAAGGCACGATCCGGATCCTCCTCCGGATCGAGAGCACGCATTATTATTATTATTATTATTATTATTATTATGCAATCTATCTATCTATAATGCCCCCCCCCCCGTGGCACAATGGGTTAAACCCTTGTGCTGGAAGGATTGCAGGACTGCTGACGGACCGGTCAGCGGTTCGAATCCAGGGAGAGCGTGTTGAGCTCCCTCTGTCAGCTCCAGCTCCCCATAGGGGACATGAGAGAAGCCTCCAACTAGGATGGTAAAACATCAAAACATCCAGGGCATCCCCTGGGCAGCATCCTTGCAGACGGCCAATTCTCTCACACCAGAAGCGACTTACAGTTTCTCAAGTCTCTCTTGTTGTTGTTGATGATGTTGTTGTTGTTGTTATTATTATTATTATTATTATGAAATTTCCCCCGCAAATAACACTATGTAGCAAAACTTTAAAATATATATATGTTCCCGATTTCAAAGTGTGATTTCCTATTTAAATGTGCAGTATATTTACTTTGAAAGTATATGTTCTACTCCAGAAACTTCGTTTTTTGTGGCTACCACAAACGATGTTGAATTGGTTGAGACGCTACAGATGTCCTCTGAAAAACTATATCAAAATGTGCTGCAGGATTTCGTGTATAAAACCAAGCTGTTGCAGTTTCCCCATTTTTAGGATAGAACCAATTAGGAAATGACATGGATAACCCAGGAACACAAACCGTGCTGTCCCCGCAGACCCTTCCGGGAGCCAAGAGGCCCAGCCTTGCTCTGTGGAAAGGGAGTGCGCCCTGAGGGAGGGTCTCCAAGGCGGAGAGGCGCTTACCTTTCTGGACGCCGGGTCCCAGCGAGCCCCACGCCTGGGTCTTGCCTTCCTTGAAGAAGGTTTCTCCGACAGGATCTGCAAGAGAAGAGAGAGACCTTGAGACGGAGTTATCAGCGCAAACTCAAGTCCAAGGGCCCTTCCACACAGAGCCCTATATCCCAGAGAATCAAAGCAGAAAATCCTACAATATCTGCTTTGAACTCAGATAATGTGGGCTGTTCTTCCTTGATATTCTGGGAGATAGGGCTGTGTGCCCCATGAGGCTCCCCATCAATGGTCCTGGAGACTCCGGGGAGAAAAGGGAGGAAAGCCCCCACCCCTGAACCTGCTTCCCCGGAGACATCTACACTTGGGAGTGAATGCAGTTGGGCACCGGCATCTTCTCCGTGGTTCAGTGCTCAGGAATCCTTGGATGAGGCGCCAGAAAGATTCGGCTCAGGAAAAGGACCACTCTCCGGATGCCATCGCCTTGAGGGAAACCGGTGCCAAACGGCATTGCTTCTCCCTATTGTCGATGCCACTGGTTCCCCTGCTTGTGAGCTTCTGCCTCGGCCCCCCTCCCCTCCCCTCCCCACCCGAAGGCGCTATGAAGCCAGGAAACGCGTCCAGGAAAAAGGAAATCCGACTTCCGACGGGAGCCGTCGGGCCAGCTTTAAAGAGGGAAGGCGAGGCGGAGGCGAGCAGAGGAGGGAGAGACACACAGAGAGAGAGACCCGTGGGGGTGTGGGGCTGTGGGTCTGCCTCCGTGGCCCTTCTACCTGGCAGGTACATGTTGAGCAGCAGGGTCCGGGCCGCGCCGCGTCTCATGGCAGCTCTGCGCGCACCCGGCGCCCGCGGGGGGTCTTATCGCCTGAGGCCGCGGAAGGCGAGGGAGGCTGCTGTTCTGGGTGGAGGTGGATGTGTGGCGCTCCCACTCGCGGAAGGAAAGGACGAAGGAGGGGAGGGAGGGAGGCTGGGGGGGGGGGAGGTTAGTCTCCCAGCAACCTGCCAAGGGGGCCCTGGTCCCGGGCGCCGGCAATTTCCGCTGCGCTTTAATTAAAGGCGCGGCGCGGGCGCTTATCGCCCCATCGGACTTTAATAAAGTCCCCCCTCCCCTCCCGCGTTTCTAGGGAGAGCGGGGGCGGACGCGGAGGCGCATTTTCCGCCTCCTTAACTCTTTGCAAACAGGGAACGGCCGCCCGGGCGGCGTGGAGGGCCCTTCTGCTCCACCGCCCGCCAGACAGGCCACAAGGCCCCGGCCCCTAATGGGCCTTTGAGTGGGAAGCCAGGCACACACACACACACACACACCGGTTGCAGGGTAGGCGCCCAAGATGTTGGCGTGGATGCCAGGGTCTTGGGGACTAGCACCTCGCCTCCCAAAGTGGCAGTTTCCTGGGCACATCCACACTGACTCCTTCCTCCAGGGTGAATAGTTGGTCTATCGGGTGTATAGGGTGGCAACCTGTGCTTGACAGGCTTGCACTCCCCCTGAAGACACAGGTCCGCAGTCTGGGGGTCCTCCTGGACTCAGCGCTGACACTTGATGCTCAGGTGTCGGCAGTGGCTGGGAGGGCTTTCGCACAGCTAAAACTAGTGCACCAGCTGCAACCTCCTGAAGATCGATTTGGCCACAGTGGTCCATACTTTAGTTACCTCTAGAATGGGCTATTTTTTTTTGTCTCTTAAATATTTTTTTATTATTTAATTATTTGACACAATCTCATATATAATAAGACAATATACATTCAGAAATAATGAAACATGCCTAGATCTGTATGTAGACGGCAATGTGTACAAAGTAAGTATAACATATTATACCATTCACTCGAGTTTAAGTCACTTTTAAAGGAAAATCCATGCAAACTATTCCTAACTAGAACTGTTTCCATCTAGCTAACAGTAATAGTGCCATCAGCTACTCCCCCCTATTGCAACGCACTCTACATGGAGCTGCCCATGAAGATGGCCTGCTGGTGAAGACGGCCTGGAAACTTCCATTGGTTCAAGGCTTGGCAGCCAGATTGTTTTGGGGATTCTTCAGGTTCAGAAGAGGAAGGGGAGCAGGGATGTGCTCAGGAATTGGAGGGAGAAGAAGAATCAGACATGAGGGTTTGAAAGTGTCCACATTTCTAGAGAGGCAAAAAGAGACAGAGCACAGAAGCCTTTCAGACAGAATAGCTGCTAAAAATGTTGAGCTAATTGGAAGATGCCCTACCACCTCCTGTGTGGGGAATTCAGGGCAATAAATCAAAGTAACAACAACCCTGATACTGCTGTTTTCACTCCAATGGAATCTGTTTTGTGTCTGCTGCTAAGGACTTAGTTCATTGCCCATTGTCTGATGGAAGACTGGTCTTTCTCTTGGGATTTTGTAAGAGACTTTAATTTGTGTTTGGATTAAGACTTCCTTGCTTTCTTTTGCACTTTTCAATTGCATTTGCTTATCCTTTGTGTTTGCTGAAGTAAAGCATTTTTCTTTTACTTTCAACATTGTCTGAAGGCTGTTTTTGAAGGGCAATTCAGGGCAGATTGTTAACAGGAGCCCCAATTCAAGGTGCGGGTTATCACCTACAAAGCCCTGAACAGTTTGGGACCCGCCTATCTTCGCAACCTACCACATTTCCTTCTATGAACCAGCTTGACCCCTTTGATCTTCTGGGGAGGTTCTCTTCTTGCTCCCACCTCAGTAGCAAGTGGGGTGTGGCCTCTGGGGACTAGGGAGAGAGCCTTCTCAGTAATGGCCCCCTGGCTTTGTAACTCATTACCTCGGGAGATTAGGCTTGCTCCCTCCTTGTCAGCTTTTAGGAAAAGCTTGAAAACCTGGCTGTTTCGCCTTGCTTTGGATGAATGAACAATAATCTCCATACCATGACCATCCCAGCACATACTTGTCCTCTTGATGCGCCTCACCTTATTCCTAGTAAGTAACTAAACCCCATAGCTTGTTCCTCTTGTACCTCCCACCAGTTAAATTGTTTAAGTTATCCTATCTTGTCTTATGTCCCTTGTTTTTATCTTTGCTCATTGGCCCAGCCCATTCTGATTAACTCCTTATCCCTAATCTAATTTTTACTTCATAACCCGTGTTATATCCCATTATGTTAATTTCCTTTTATTGTTTGTATCTTATTGTTTTATTGCTGTATCTACAGAGACACTTGCTGGAACACCTCAGCAAGCGAGAGTCCAAAAGTGACAGCCTCAAACCCAGAACCTCAATCAATGTCTGATACCAAATGAGAGACCTCCCCCTGGAAACACAGAAACCTGGGTGACTTGGAAGGCACTGAACAGATGTGCTCTGGCACCACGAGATGCAGAGCCAACCTTAAGAAATGGGGCTACAAAGTGGAATCCACGACATGCGGGTGTGGAGAAGAGCAAACTACAGACCACCTACTGCAATGCAACCTGAGCCCTGCTACATGCACAATGGAGGACCTTCTTATAGTAACACCAGAGGCACTCCAAGTGGCCAGCTACTGATCAAAGGACATTTAATCATCTACCAAGCTTGCAAACTTTGTGTTTTATTTGTTTGTTACAAAATGCAATACAACTGTTAGGTTTGCTCCTGATACGATAAATAAATAAGTAATTGCTGTATTTTATTTTAATTTCTATTTTGATTTAATTTTAATTATCATTTGCTGTATGTATCTTATTTGTTTACTATATCTGTTGGGCTTGACCTCATGTTAGCCCTCCCGAGTCCCTGAAGGGAGATGGTGGAGGGGTATAAATAATATCTGCTTTGATCCTGTTCAAAGCAGATAATCTGGATCAGATACTGGATTGTTTGGCAGTATAGATCCAGTATAACACAAAGTCATGTGAAAGAAACCCTTAATGAGCATCAGTGATCTGCAGTATCAAGATGACTTCAAACTGTATGAGATAGTTAGTGTGGGTGTGCCCCCAGTAACCTGGGGAGAAGGGAGAAAAAGGGCAGGAAGGCCTCAGTCTCGCTTGAGCTTGAGTCTTGTCCTCATTCTTAGGCCCCTTCCACACTGCCCACACTGTCCATTATAGAATATAGCAAAGCTTTTGATGATGTAGGTCATGGAAAATTATGGATCTTTTTTAATTGTCTTGATGCATAAACTGTATTCAGGACAAGAGATCAAGGTTTTCAGGGGAGGCCAAGAGCTGAGCCCAGAACTTCCTCAAAGGTTGCAAATACATACGTTGCCGTCCTGATTTCACTTAGGCAATAATGAAATCAAGGTTTCAGAAAAGCTGCATCATGACAACAGTTTTAAAGGTACAATTGGCACTTGGTATCTGGTGGGGATTGGTTCCTTGTGAATATCAAAATCCAATCATGCTCAAGTCCCATTATATACAATGGTACAGTAAAATAGAGTCCGTTATAGAAAATGGCAAAAAAAAAATGGCTGGCATTTTGCTTTTTTGGATTTTTTTTGGGGGGGGGGATATTTGCTGGCTACGAATGGATAAATCTGCGGATGTGGCAGGCCAACTGTATTCAGAATGGAGCCAAACTCTTCATTGCAGTGCTCCTTGGGCCTCATTGACATTGCCATATAAAATCCAGATTATCTGCATTGAGCAGTATTATATGGTACTGTAGACTCATATAATCCACTTCCAAGTAATAATGTGGATTATCTGCTTTGACAATCAGATTATATGGCAGTGTAGAAGGGGCCTTAGCCTGTCCTGTCTAATTGTTGTGTGGTTACTCCCTGCCCATAGCAATAAGTTCTACATGTCCGCAAGATGATGTACTAGAACAGTGGTTCTCAACCTGTGGGTCCCCGGATGTTTTGACCTTCAACTCCCAGAAATCCTAACAGCTGGTAAACAGCTGGATTTCTGGGTGTTGTAGACCAAATCACTTGAGGACCCAAAGATTGAGAACCACTGTACTAGAAAAATACAGAGCACAAAAACAGTATTGGTTTGGTGCTGAATTGATCTGTCCTCAGAAAGGAGTTATTTGAAGAGCAGGGTATGACAATGTGTGTGCAGCAGGATTAGTTATAATACCAGCCTTGCTATAAGGCAAAGAGATGCAGTAAGCAGACAGTGTTTGTCGTTCAGTCAGTAGCATTGTCCAGGGTGACCTTCCACAAACCCAATACCCTCTAGATCTGGCAGTCAGAACTACATCTTCCATTATTCCTAGGCAACCATCACTGGGGTTCTTCTGTTCAAGAGCAAGAAAAAAAACTGCTGTCCAGTTCCCTGGTTAAAGCAAAGAAGCTCAGCCTTTTTTTTTTTTTAAAGAAATAGATCTTTATTTGACAAAATAGTGAATAATCTTCCTCCTTTCCTTCCCCCCCCCCCCCAATCCAATTTTACTTGCTTCTCTTGATCTTCAGGCTCTATCCTTCATCCCCTCTAACGCATTACACAGAGGCATCTAGTGGCCACTTGAGGTACAGCACCCAGGAGGCAATGAACAAACTCAAGGGCTCTGGATTCTTTTACAAAAAGACGCAAGAAATGGGTGATGTGGGAATCAGGAAAGAAAGACTACTGCCTCACATTTCCTATTTTGTCCCTTCCATTTATTATTTTTTGTGACACAAGTGGTATTGTACACTGGGAGAGGCTGATTCTGTCTTGGGCAAACCACGTCTGGAATACTGTGTCCAGTTCTGGGCACCACAATTGAAGGGAGAAGCTGACAAGCTGGAAGGTGCCCAGAGGAGGGGGACTAAAATGATCAAGGGTCTGAAGAACAAGTCCTATGGGGAGCGTCTTAAAGAGCTGGGCATGTTTAGCCTGCAGAAGAGAAGGCTGAGAAGAGACATGATGAGGACCATGTGGGGAAGTCATAGGAAGGAAGGAGCAAGCTTGTTTTTTGCTGCCTTGGAGACTAGGACACGAAACAATGGCTTCAAGCAACAGGAAA